TGGGGGGTTTTGTAACAACACATGTGTTGGGCATCTCCAAATCCTGAAGTGACATAAACTACCTTTATGCCCTCTCCATAACTCATAAGGTGTTTCTGAAACACTCTTAGAAGGAACTATGTTCAAAATGTATGCAGTAGTCTCCACTGCATGTCCCCAAAACGAATCAGGTAATTGAGCGAAAATCATCATAGAGCGAACTATGTCTAACAGAGTTCTATTCTCCTTTCTGATACATCGTTCTGCTGAAGTATACCAGGGGCTGAGAGTTGAGACGTTATTCCATGTTCTATCATTTAGTCCTAGAATCTTAAGTTCTTATACTCTCCACCTCGATCTGATCGAAGTGTTTTAATAGTTTTTCTTAATAGATTCTCAACCTCAGTCTTATACTCTCTGAACTTTTTAAGAGCTTCGGACTTGTGATGCATTAGGTAAAGATAGTCATACGTTGAATAATCATCAATAAAACTGATGAAATATTCATACCCTCCTCGTGCTTTGACATTCATTCTATCTCCAAAAAAACAACTTTAAATTTCCAATTGATCTTATTGATACAACCTCTCTTGTTCTAACCCTGAGTGTTATCTTGCCTTTCGCAAGCATTCTCCAGGAGCTAGTTCCTGAAGAAAAAAAAATCAAATATGATTAGTGGCCCCTGAATCTAGTATCCAAGTTGAGTTATCATACTCTACTAATTATATTTCTACAACTAGTAAATCATATTTACCTTGTTGTGCCTTTTCGACTTTATTCTCTGCAAGGTATTTTAGGCAGTTTCTTTCCCAGTGTCCGTTTTCTTTGCAATGGAAACATTTTTCTTTATCTGCATCTTGAACCTTGCGTTTGCTGTCAGTAGGAATCTTATTTTTCTCCTTATCCTTCTTAATCGAAACATTTTTAGAAGTTGAAGGACTAGACTTATTTTTGGAGAACAATCCTCCTGCTTGTCCCTGGGACAAGCAAGAGGATTGTCCTTCAAAGCAATAGCTGTTTTATCGAAACATTCTTAGAGACAGTAACATTTGCTTCTCTTGCTTGTCCCTAGTCCATTAAGAGGGATTGATAAGTCTATGAGAAGAGCAGTCAAGTTATATTCTATCTTGTTCATCATCGCATTAGTGTGGAACTGTAGGAAGCTCTTCGGAAGAGACTCCATGATAAAACTGATCTGGCTCTTCTCATCAATGATAACTCCATTTTCTTCTGCCACATTGAAATGGAGCATCATGTCTAGGACATGTTCTCTAACTGAGGTACCTTCTTTCATACAGCAGTTGCAAAAGTATTTTACGATGTCACGTCTAAGGGAGAAGGATGGTTGCCAAAACATCTCTTTCAGAGATTCCATAATCTCTTTAGCAATAGCCATAACATCGTATTTCTTAGCCAAAACATCAGATATGCTGGCTAAAATGTACACTCGGGTTTTGTCATTTGCCGTTGAGCCCAAAAATAAATAAACAAATAAAAAAAATTATAAAAAAAATGGTTAAAATAATAATAAAAATAAATAAATAAATAAACAACAACTTTTCTCCCCTTCTCTCCACTAACCTCTCATCCCTTTACAGAATTATCTCTCATCAACCCATCCTTACGCCAAAAAAGTAAATGTTAGCAAAAAAGACAGAAAACAATAATTGTTAGACTTATTTAGGAAAAAAAAAATGGCCTTTACCGAGTTAAGATTCACCAGAGATTTACGTGAATTATATTAAATTTATATCAGTAGCCAAATGAATAAATTAAAAATAAAATTGCCAATAAAATTTGTGAACATAAACACGGAGATAAATAAATATTTGGAAACAGAGATCCACTCCAAATTTGGAATACATGAGAACAAAATTAAGAGGCAACAGATACAAAAAAGAAGATTAAGGAATTAAAAACCACAAACTAAATATATAGAGAAAGGTAAATACAGAGGTATTAAAGCCCAAACTTAAATAGTTGTATATACTTTCTTTTTTTATACAACAGTAACCATGAAAAATAAGATTTTTAATAAAAATATAATTATAGACATATAACATTTCAAAACTTTTAACAATGGGCCTATGTAAATTAGAGAAACAATTTTGTGGATTTCAAACTTGAAACTAATGTCATGGATTTCGTGACGACTTAAGCTAGCCAGATAAGTGACCTTACTATCGACATGATTATGTTTGCTGTTGACACGTGCCCCGTGGTTCTGCACGTGTCATATATATTGATATGTGTGAATTGTCTGTGGATCGATAAGCTTCTTATTTGTTATGTATATGTTTCAATATGTGAATTGTTTGATAATAATTACAATACGATGTGTTCGAGATAGGATACGAGAAGGATGCACAAAACGAAATGTAACGATAGGAGTAAAATACGTTCATGAAACGTTAAGATTAGGTTATATATTGGAGTGATATGGATAAGAGAGATTGATGGAAGAATACGGTTAGACTACGGGTAGAAAGGGATAGGTTTGTGATAGATTGATCGAACGATAGCGTTAGGATTGATAGAACGATAACGTTAGGTTTGTTCTTGTGATGATATGACTGAGGTACGTTCACGTAATGATATGTCTGTGATAGGTACAAGAACGTTAAGGCTATGATAAGTTAGAAAACGATATGACTACGATTTACATTGTGGTGCAATATGTCATGGTATGATGTGCATATAATGAAATGTTATGTTAAAAGCATGATATGAATGACATGAAATAAGATAAATGGCATGAAATATAACCCTGTTAGAATTATGTATGATTTGAGAACTGAAGAATGAGAAACGATACGATATGAATGATGGATGATATCTGAAACAATATGAAAAATGATATGATATGTACATAATGCTAGCGGGGTTGTATTAAAGGATAATGAAAATGGAAAAGTTTTGGGACCTCATGCATTATGTATGCTCATGCATTTGGGGGGGGTACCCCTAACCCATCACGAGGGTACGGACGCGTACATCCAATGGCAAGACAACGATCGTTATGCTTTGCATAGCGCTGCCGTGACAGATACTAGTTCTAATGTTCCGGCAGGGGCTCCCAGAGTATGCCCACCGGATAAGGAAAGTGGTCCAGCGGTGTGCGAACTAACTAGTGAGCCCATACTCGCACGTATGGGCTGTGTGTAGAGTATATAGTACACGTCCAAAGTTTACCCGTTAGGACAGCACCGTAGGGAAAACGAAACGAAATGAAAGATAGGTCCCATCATTTCATTGCATGTGATTGTTGCATTTGACCCCAATAGTGGGGTCACATACCGAGTATTTCTTTAAATACTCAAGCCATGTGCTACTACATTTTTTCAGGTTAAGGCAAGACATTCCTGCACGGATGACGACGGTATCGCAACTCGAGACCATGGCACATGCATAGGGTAGTGGTATTTATTTTCTTAGACTTAGGCTAGACTAGGTTGTTTTTAACTTAAACTCTTATTCATTTTATTTAGTCTTTTGTGGTGTCGTTTTAAAGATGTTTTCGAAACACGTAAGTCCATGGCAGTGTTTTAAGATAAAGGTCATATTTTATGAAATTTTAATGAAGTCTTCCGCATTCAATGTTTATGGTACGCCGATAGCGACCTTAAATTAAGTACAAATTTTGGGTCGTTACATTGTCCATTGTCATATGCATACCGAACTGTTCCGTTTGCATTTGAACTTGGGTTTGGAGGACATCCTCAATTAAAACAAACCTTAAATCATCAATTACAAGTATTGTGTTTAGATTTGATTTCTAAGTTGCGTAATTGTCACCATTTAATTTCTCAGAAGCGAGTAATTATACTATTGAGCTTGTCAAAATTCTATTAGAGAATTGATTTAATCTTTTTTAATCCAATCAGGTTTAGTAAATATAATAATGTACCCAAAAGTTATTAATTTGCAACAATACTTGAGTGAGTTAGAGTAACTGCTACCGAGGGGAAATGAATCACTCCTTTACTAAACCAAGGCATTATTGACTTAAACACTAATCCTAGAATAACTCTTTATTCCTATATTGTTTTAGTTATTGCCACTTTAGTAAAAAATATACTAATTCTTAGTAATTCTTCGTAAGTGTGACCCGCCATTTTCAGACCTTAGAGATCAGCCCCAACAATGCTATCGAATGAAAAAGCCAAAGTTGGGAATGGACCTAAGAAATCCTATCCAGTTCTAGAGTTTGCATTGTTCCTTCTCCCATGATACGACCCTCCGAATGGGTAATTGCTCTAGGGCAAGATGCAGGTGGAACATGAGAATCTCACAGTGCAACCTAGTGGTGGAGACCATAGGATGTGTTGATATACTTCCTTCCACTTACTATAAATACTTTCTCTATTCACCTTGTTATTGACTCATGCAAATATGTTCTGAATGGAGGTTGCTCCCAGGGCGACACGAGGCCGATCATGAATCTCACGGTGTGAATTTTCCAGAGAGCGTAAAAAAGAAAATGATGTATCTCATATACCTTTTTCCTCCTAAGTATTTTAGACGGTTGGGTATACACATTACTTACTTATTCTGGCTAATTAAATATAACCTAAGTCTAGGTGATTTTTCCAAAAGAAAAAACTTAAATCACTCACGCATGCTCATAAAACTAGCTAACTAAGCTCAAGTAGTGGCCCGATCTCCATGTAGTAGGTGCTTCGTAAACCGTCAACTTAAGTACATCCAACCTTAGCCAAGATCATGCCAGGTGAGCTTTCTTATAACCACAATTTTACAAGATATCGACCAATTTTAACTATTAAAATTGATCGTGCTTGGTTCTTAACCCTAAGTGAGCATGCACTTATCTTTATTATAAATTTTAACGTCTATATCGTTTTATGACGTTGAAAATAACCTATAACATGCTTTATATGACAATTATATCATCATCTATTCCATCCAATAATATAACAATTTATATCTATCACTCATGGAACCTTAAACATGCATACTATACATTATAACACTTATAACATACTTGTAATGCATGAAACATACTTAGCATAGGGTGGAATTTTAAATTTATATGGCATACTTTATGCCATATAAATGTATAGACATTTTCTATTTAATTAAAACATATATTCACAATGCATAATTAATTAAATACACTAAAGTGGACTGGTTTTGGCATTTTAAAGCAAGTAATTAACTAAATTATTACATTAATAATTAAAAATTAACTTGATCCACTCCCTCGAGCCAGCCGCGGGTTGGGAAGCAAAAATTCTTCCTTCTTCTTCTTCGGTTCAGCTTGCCATCATTTCTATTGTCGATCAATTACAACCTTAAATGGACTCTAATGACTCCATAAAAATTACAGACCTTTTTTCACTCATTAAAGCTCATACACATTAGGCTAATTATAATAATTGTATCAAATGGAAGCATAAAAAAATGTCAAAACCATAAATATCCACTTTAGCCGCCACCATTTTTCATTCATGAAATGGTACCCACCATGCTCGAATTAATGTAAATAAAATGCCTAAAACTTGCTCTGATACCAATTGATGGTGTCATTATAACACATAGGAAAAACAATTCGGATCTTAGGCACTCTAAGTACATCAATTATAGTAAATTAGCTAGCATGTTCATAAGCATTAAAACTTAAGGAGTTTGAGTACTAACCTTTTATAGTTCAAATTTCTTTTTCCTCAAGAACCGGTTTCGAACCACCACTAGTGTCTTATCTACTATTCTTCGGCCTTATAACGGGATTGTGAAACCGGTGAGTAGTTAAACTTGGAAAGGATTTAGTATCTGTGAAGAGAGAGTTTGTGAGGGTTTTTCTCAAAGTTTTTCTAAGAAGACTTTCCATGTACCTTGATTACTCTATTTAAAGAGTCATATTTGCATGTTCATCCAATTTTGAGATTACCAAATTTTGACACTCAAAATTTCACTAACTCAAACATGTATTTTTCCATGAGGTGAAATCAACATTTTGACTTTCTCCATTTTAATTCAACAATTAATTTAAATAATTAATTTCAAATTAAAGTAATATTAAATGATTAATTAAACCATTTAATTAATATTTAACATTAATTCAAATGTCAATCCCATCCGACGTATTATTAAAATATCTATATCTTATTTAAATATATCTAATTCTCTCTTTTTGTTTAATTCCTAAATAAAACAAAAAAGCAATTAAATATATCGTATATATTTAGGGCATGAATCCTAATTTGAATTTGAAACCGCCCTAGAATGCGATCGAAAACGCGCCGGTATCGCAAATTTAGTTCCCAACCACAACATCAAGAAATATTATTTTCGCATACACGTGAAAAATCACAGCTGCCGGGCAGCTGGCATTTTGTTACCACCTAGAACGTGACCGAAAATGTGCCAGTATCACAAATTTCGTTCCCAACAATCGAAATGGGGATAAAACCAAGAAATATTTTTTTCGCATGCTTGCGAAAAATCCAAACTCCTGGGTTGCTGGCAATTCAGAACTATCCCAGAACGCGACTGAAAAACATGTCAGTATCGCAAATTCAATTCCCAACCATCGAATTGGGACATTCCAACACAATGCCAAGAAATATTTTTTTCGCATGAGCGCGAAAAACCTCGGCTCCCAGGGTGCCGACATTTCGGAACCGCCCTAAAACGAGACCGAAAACTTGTCGGTGTCGTAAATTCAGTTCCCAACCATCGGATTGGGGCATACCCCACCACGAAGCAAAGAAATATTTTTTCGCATCCGCGCGAAAAATTCCGGCTCCTTGAGATACGACATTTTGTTACCATCCTAGAACGTGATCGAAAACACGTCGATGCCGCAAATTCAGTTCCCAACCATCGAATTGGGGCATTCCCCCCACAATGCAAAGAAATATTTCTTTTGTATGCGTGCAAAAAATTATGGCTCCTACATAGTCGAAATTTTGTTACTGCCCTAGAACGCAACAGAAAACATGTTGGTGTCGCAAATTTGATACCTAACCATCGAATTGGGGCATTCCACACCACAACGCCAAGAAATATGGTTTTCGCCTGCGCACGAAAAATCCTATCTCCTAGGGAGCTGAAATGTCAGAACCGCCCCAGTACGAGATCGAAAATGCGCGGGTGTCACAAATAAGGCTTCCAACCATCAAATTGGGGCATTCCCCACCACAATGCCAAGAAATATTTTTCTCGCATGACGCAAAAAATACCAGATTCGGGGAGCCAACATTTTGTTACTGCCCCAGAACACGACCGTAAACGCACCAGTGTCGCAAATTCGGTAGCCAAACATCGAATTGGGGCATTCCCCACCACAACACCAAGAAATATTGGTTTCGCATGCGTGCAAAAAATCCCGTCTCCTAGAGAGACGACATTTCGGAACTGCCCCAAAACGCGACAAAAAACGTGCCAGTGTCGCAAAGTCGGTTCCGAACCATCGAAGTGGGGCATTCCCTACCGCAACGCCAAAACATATTGTTTTCGCATGCGCGCGAAAAATCCCAGCTCCTACGGAGCCGAAATTTAAAAACCGCCCCAGAACGTGACCGAAAATGCGTCGGTGTCGCACATAAGGTTCTCAACCCTCTCCACCACAACGCCAAGAAATATTTTTTTTTGCATGAGCGCGAAAAATCCCGGCTTTCGGGGAGCCAACATCTTGTTACTGTTGGGTTTTATGTCCTAAAACTCATAGTTTGTAAACAAAAACATATTCTATTTTCAATAAAGTTATTATTGTTGTTTATTCCGCAAAGATGGTTATTGAATAAAGTGAACTTTACGATCATTAATCTAAATCCAATAAACTAAGAACACTCTGACTATAGTATGATTACTTGAACTATATGTAGAGACATAAGAGTTGATCAAGTTCAAGTATATAGTCAAAATGATCTATAGTATAAGGATAAGGCTGAGTACCTTATTCTGGGGGCACTATGGATGCGACCCACTTTTGTATATGATATAAACAATGTGATCACTAAAATTGTACTCGTGGAGACATGTGAGTGGGGGCGTCCTATGCAATGAGTATTGCATAAGATCGGACCATGAAGAAAATCACTCTCACTTTATAATGTCGTTTACTGTTGAGACTGATTTTCTTTTCATTCAATGACCTAGGTAACTCGATCTTAATCCTGAGCTAACCATGAAGTCTTTTTTATTTGGAATTATCCTTAGATTTGCATGGGTGAGAGTGGCTCAAGTTCGCCGGCTCAATAGGCATCCCATTTCAGGGGTAAGACTGGGTAAATGGCTGGGGACGTGGGGTGTAAGATGGAATTCACTCCTACCCACTTTTAGGGATAGAAGAGAGGTAGTTCCCTTAAGTACTGACTCCAAGTCTTGAACAAGGGGCCCCACCCTCTCATTGGCCTGAGAGGGATCCGGTTTACTGGTTGGACCACAAACCAATTGTTCATTAGAGAATCAGTGAGACATAAGAAACAAGAAGTAACTTCAGGGATAAAACGGTAAATTGACCCAGCTCTAGTTACGAACAACCTGTGAAGGATCGGCTTACTAATCATGGTTATATCAAATGGACAGAAATATATCTATAGTGAGGGGAGTGCAACCACTAAGCTATAGTGGAATGTCCTAATAGTTAACAAATGTTGGTTAACAAGGTTAATGAGTTTAACCAGTTAATCTTGGATCGTTGGAGCCCATGATCTATAGGTTCATTAGGTCCCTCTGCTAGCTCATAACAGACTAAACCATAGAACAATGTGACGAGTGAGTTCGAAGTGTTCGAATTCAAATTAGGGAGAATGCGCTACATATATACGATATATTTAACACACATTTTTGTTTTATTTACTAATTAAACAAAAAGAGAGAATCTGAGATATTTAAATAAGATTTAAATATCTTAATCAAATATGTCGGAATTAAATTGGGATTGATCCATTGTTTGCCAGTCTTACAAATTTATAGAATTGACAACAAAAATCTAATTAATTGGATACATGAAAAATGAGATTTGATTATACTTGATGGGGTAAAATATTGGATAGAGGAAATAAGATTTGATCCTAAATTAATTTCTTATAATCATAACTATAAATGAGAAGGAAATGGATTTTACCGTAATAAAAGACCAAAATCTCTAAATCTGCCATCATTCAAAGTCATTTTACTTTTTTCTCCAAGACATTTTTCTATTTATTTTTGGACGAACTATGTAATGGGTTGAAGAGAGAGGATGGATTGGGATGAGAGGTTAATGGAGAGATTGGTAAGTTTTATTTTATTATTATTTAGTAATCTTTTTTTAGTTATTTATTTATGAATTATTATTATAACTATTATATTTTTTTTATTTGTTTATATTTTATATATATATATATATATATATATATATATATATTTGGCTATTACGTCATATACCTCTAAAAGAAACTTTGGTCCCCGAAAATGTTTTAATCTTGGAATAACTCGGGTCCTTATTCTAAAAGTTCTTTGTTAAGTCTTCAAGTACCACTGAGTAAAAATTCTTAACAAGTATACCCTAATCCGTATGAGTCATAAACATTTATTTGCATGCATAAAACTTTCCTAAGTCTATCACTTGGTATTCGTAAAATCTTTGATTCCTTATAACGTGTCTTGACAGATAGTTATATATTTTAAATCTTAATTGATACTCCAAAATTTTTATAATTCCCTAAAATCTTTCATACTTAGTCTTCTAGGATCTTGAAAACGTCATAGAATTTTCATAAGGGTCTTTTGGTCATTTACCCCCCAAATCTTGATTTAGTTCTTCAACATATTCCAATGGTTTTATAACTTTGTGTAATCCCTTTGCACCATACAGCATAACATAAGGCTCCTCATCAAATTTCATATCATTTAGAGGTCACTTTGGTCATAAACTACTGGTACATAATTATAGGGGCATTTTAGCCCGTATCATAACCTAATGGTCACAAAATTTCTTACATAACATTGTCATGCCATATTGAGCCTTCTTCTAAAATTTCAAGCTTTATGACTCAACCACTTCATTGAAATAAATGTTCATGTGCATAATAAGGTTGGCAAACTTACTAAATCCGAATAGTTGCTCACTTTTCTTTTTTCGTTCCACTATGATTCCATCTATTGGATCAATTAGTTTGTGCTTTACATGGTTCTCCAAATCAAATTCTCTAAAATTAGCTAAAGGTTCACTAATGGACCTTTTTTGTCCATACATTCTCAAAATCACATTTTAAAAATATGGGATCTCAACTACACAAGAAAATTGTTGATAAAACTCCAAAATGATATTTTCTTTTGATCCATTTTTTTTTTCTCTCTCCTTATCATTAAAGAAAGACAGAAAAATTTCATGATAGAAACATTCTCCACAATTTCTCTTCAGATGAACTCATAGCTGATGATAGAACTAGAATAGATAATATTTTCTGTTTCCTACTCACACGCACTCATATCTTTGCTTCTCGATTAATCTCTAATTCTAATCTTCCTCCCCAATAAGATATTACAGTGCTGGTATAGACCGAAATTTCGTTATAGTCCAATTCTGACTGATCACAATTCTGTACAGTCTATACTATAGAAGTTCCCAGTGAATTCATTAGAGAAATGTTTCCAATTAAAATTGTTAGTTCTCTAAATTTTTAATAATTAAAAAAGAAAAAAATGAATTATTTTCCTTTCCTCATTATTGTTTGTATTTGTATTGTTTTTAAGTGTCCACTTGATTTGGTTCATAGTTAATGTCTCATCTTTGTAGATGAATTCCATATACAAATTTACCTATGTTCCCATACAAAATCAAGAAATTTGTAATACTTTTCTCTTTCGACTACCTACCCCAATTCTAGTACATTTTTGGAGTCAAAATCATGACATGAAACTGGTTAAAAACTCCACCATAACCCAATGCAAATTGAATGCATTAGTAAATCTCATGGATTTACGAACAACTTACCATATTTGATTTGTGGTCAAGCTAGAGTTTGAGAATTTGGTAACTTTCATTGGAAACATTGTCAAATAAGCTTTTCTCTTTGTATACCTTATCTAGTATAGCCCAAAACTAATGTTCTTATAACCATAACTGAAAGGCATCACAACCCTTCAACGCTTTTGTAATATGAATAATGGGCTTAACAAAATTCTCTTCTATTGGTATTATATAAGCATGGTGTATATCTTCAGATGCCATAAAACTTCGGATACTTAAAAGTCAAACTTAAAATGAGAGTCTTGAAACCTTAACTATGGTAATACCTTTTAACCAGGTTGACATTGCTAGGAAAAATTCATCGATAATTGTCTACAACAATTTGTTTATGTTGAGGTTCCTGGAGTGCAATCGTGTACCATAAGGAGGATTACCACAAAACTTTTAGTTGATTTAGAGACAATGTCCCACTGTAATCCTCGTGTATCCCCCACCCAAGTCCATCTTAAATCATGGTTTCTTAAATTTAAGGTATCTTGACAATCTCAAACGATAGTCCCTCTCGATATACCTCTAAAATTTTGACCATAATCGTAATGCCTCATCCAAACTATGGCTCGATACTTTTAAATCACCTCACAACTTCCATAATTGATGTTGTATTATTTATTATTATTTTTTTAATTTTCAACTTGTATTAAGGCAGGAAAGTTTTCTACAATTCAGTACTTCCAAAGTTCAACTTCTATTAAAGGCAGTAAACGCACCAGTGTCGCAAATTCGATTCCCAACCATCGAATTGGAGCATTCCCCACCACAATGCCAAGAAATATTTTTCACATGTGCGTGAAAAATCCTAGCTCCCGAGGAGCCGGCATTTTGGAACCGCCTCACAACGCGAACGAAAATGCATCGGTGTCGCAAATTCGGTTCCCAACCATCGAATTGGGATATTCCCAACCACATTGCCAAGAAATATTTTTTTGCACATGCACGCCAAAACTTTTGGCTCCTAGGGAGCCAACATTTCAGAACCACCCAAGAACGGGATCTAGAATGCGTCGGGGTTGCAAATTTGGTTCCCAACCATCAAATTGGGGCATTCCCTACGACAACTCCAAGAAATATTTTTTTCACTTGCGCACGAGAAATCCCGTCTTCCGGGCAGCCGACAGTTTGGAACCCCCCAAAACGCTTTCGCAAATGCGCCGATGTCGCAAATTCGATTTCGAACCATAAAATTTGGGCATTCCCCACCACAACGCCGAGAAATATTTTTCACATGCTCGAGAAAAATTTCAAATCCCAAGGAGACGACATTTTAGAACTGCCCCAAAACGCGTCCGAAAAAGCGTCGGTGTAGCAAATTCGGTTCCCAACCACAGCGCCAAGAAATTTTTTTTTATGCGCACAAAAATTCTCGGCTCCCGAGCAGCCAGCATTTCGGAACCGCCCTAGAACGCGACCGAAAATGCGCCGGTGTCGCAAATTCGGTTCCCAACCATTGAATTGGGGCATTAACCACCAAAATGCCAAGAAATAGTTTTTTTCACATGCGCGCGAAAAATCCCGGCTTTCAGGGAGCCGACATTTTGTTACCACCCCAGAACCCGACCGAAAATGCACCGGTGTCTCAAATTCGGTTCCCAACCATCAAATTGTGGCATTCCCTACCATAACGCCAACCAATATTTCTTTTGCATGAGCGTGAAAAATTCCAGCTCTCGGAGAGCCGGCATTTCGGAACCACCCAAAACGCAACTGAAACGCACCGTCTCGCAAATTCAGTTCCAAACCATAGAATTTGGGTGTTCCCAACCATAGTGCCTAGAAATATTCTTTTCACATCCAAGCAAAAAATCTCGGTTCCCAGGTAGCCGACATTTTGGAGCTGCCCCAGAACACGATCGAAAATGCGTCAATGTCGCAAATTCAGATCCCAAGCATCGAATTCAGGTATTCCCCACAACAACACCAAGCAATCTTTTTTTCGCATGCGCACGATAAATTCCAGCTCCCCGACGGCCAACATTTTGGAACCTCCCTTGAACGTGACCGAAAACGCGCCAGTGTTGCAAATTCAGTTACCCAGAATCGAATTTTGGCATTCCCCACCAAAACGCTAAGCAATATTTTTTTTGCATACGCACGAAAAATCCAGGCTCTTGGGAAGTCGGCATTTCTGAATCACCCCAGAACAAGACCGAAAATGTGCTAGGTCGCAAATTAAATTTTCAACCATCGAATTGGGGCGTTCCCCACAACAATGCCAAGAAATATTTTTTTCACATGCGCGCGAAAAATCCTGACTCTCGGGAAGCCATCATTTCGTTACCACCCTAGAATGCGACCGAAAATGCGCCGGTATCAAAAATTCGGTTCCCAACCATCGAATTGGAGCATTCCCCATCACAACGCCAAGAAATATTTTTTTCGCATGCGCACGAAAAATCCTAGCCCCTGGGTAACCAACATTTCAGAACTGCCCCATTACGCGACCAAAAATGCATCGGTGTTGCTAATTCAGTTTCTAACCATCGAAATGGGGTATTCCCAACCCCAACACAAAGAATAATTTTTTTCACATGCGTGCGAAAAATCCCAACTCTCGGAAGCCATCATTTTGTTACCGCCCCAAAATGCAACCGAAAACGGCCGTTGTTGAAAATTCGATTCCCAACCATCGAATTGGGGCATTCCCCGTCACAACACCAAGAAATACTTTTTTCGCATGTGCGCAAAAAATCCTAGCATCCGGGAAGCCGGCATTTCGGAACTGTCCTAGAACGCGACCGAAAACGCACTAGTGTTGCTAATCGAATTGGGACATTCCCCACCCCAACGCCAAGAATAACTTTTCTCACATGTGCGAGAATATTTCCAGCTCCAAGGAAGACGACATTTCGGAACCGCCCAAAACGCGACAAAAAATGCGCCGGTGTCGCAAATTTGGTTCCCAACCATCGAATTGGGACATTCCTCACCACAATGCCAACAAATTTTTTCGCATGCACGCAAAAAATCCTGGCTCCCAAGTAGCCGGTATTTCGAAACCGCACCAGAATGCAATTGGAAATGCCTCGGTGTCGCAAATTCGGTTTCTAACCATCGAATTGGGGCATTCCCCACCACAACGTCAAGAAATATTGTTTTTGCATGCTTGCGAAAAATCTCAGCTCACGAGCTAATCGACATTTCGAAACTGCCCTCGAACGCGACCAAAAACGCGCCGGTGTCACAAATTCGGTTCCCTACCATCAAATTGGGGCATTCCCACCATAACGGCAAGCAATATTTTTTTCGCATGTGTGTGAAAAATCTCGGCTCCCGAGGAGTCAGCATTTCGGAACCGCCCTAGAACGCGACAAAAAACGTGCCAATTTTTGTCACAAATTCGGTTCCCAACCATCGAATTGGGGCATTCCCCACTAGAAGGCCAAGAAATATTTTTTTCGCATGCGCGTGAAAAATCCCAGCTCCCGAGTAGCTGGAATTTTAGAACCCTCCCAGTACCCAACCGATTACGCATCGGTGTCGCAAATTCGCTTTTCAACCATCGAATTGGGGCATTCTCCACCACTATGCTAAGAAATATTTTTTCGCATGCGCAAGAAAAATCCCAGCTCCCGAGGAGCAGACATCTTGTTATCACCCAACAACTCGACCGAAAATGCTCCTGTGTCACAAATTCCGTTTTCAACCATCAAATTGGGGCATTTCCCACCACGATGCCAAGAGATATTGTTTTCACATGCACGCGAAAAATCTCGACTCCTGCAAAGCCGACATTTCGAAACTACTGAAGAACGCGACTGAAAAACGCGTCGTTGTCGCAAATTCGGTTCCCAACTATCGAATTGGGGCATTTCCCACCACAACGCCAAAAAATATTTTCACGTGAACATTGTGATGGTGTTAATATAACATATGCGTAAGTAATTTGGATCTTAGGCACTCTTAGAACATCAATTATACTAAATTAACTAGCATGTTCACAAGTATTAAAATTCAAGGAGTTTGAGTACTAACCTTTTGTAATTCAAATTTCTTTTTCCTCACGAACCGGTTTCGAACCACCACTAGTGTCTTCTCTACTATTCTCCGGCCTTAGAAGGGGATTGTGGAATCCGATGAGTGACTAAACTTGGAAGGGATTCAGTATATATGAAGAGAGAGTGTGTGAGGTTTTTTCTCAACATTTTTCCAAGGAAGAAGTTACATGTACTTTGATCACTCTATTTATAGTCATATTTGCATGTTCATGAAAATTTGAGATCACCCAATTTCGACACTCAAAATTCCACTTAAATGTGTGGGATTATGTGGCAAGCATGGAAGTTTGAGTTAAACAAATTTTGACACTCAAAATTCCACTAACTCAAACATGGATTTTTCCATTAAGTGAAGTCAACATTTTGACTTTCTCCATTTTAATTCAACAATTAATTTGAATAATTAATTTCAAGTTAGAGTAATATTATGTAACACCCGCTCATTGTCAATGCGATTCATAGGAGCTACCACTAACATCGATAATAACTCTGACAACCAATCATAAATTTCAAAATATTTCCAAAACATCTAGTAAAAACATTTAAAACCAGTACTATTTAAAACTTAAAACGATCAAAGCAAAACGATCAAAGCAAATTCTTGACAGCGAAAGCATAAGTACACAAAACAGACACAGACATGGATTCCCTGAAGTCTCTAGCCCATTGGTCTCGTCCTTGGTTGGCCTGCATCAACTAAATCTGGAAAGAAAAGTTTAAAATAATTTGATGAGTAATTAAATTACCAGTGAGTAGCCAACTTATTTTTCATGAGTTCATAACTAATCTTTCTAGGTGTTTTTAAGTTTTATTTATCATTGACTCCTAGTTTCTCTAACTAGGGTCATCTGTTCATTAATGAGGTATCTCAGCTACCTCCAGCTTAGGTTACTGACTCTCTCTCGATATGCTTATCTTGAATTTTCAGACTCGTATGTAATTCTTGCTCTCTCGGTCAAATACGGCCCGTCTACTAATTGCTCTAACGGCCTGTAAATCTCATATACCAATGGTTAGGAGTACTCATTCTCTCTGACTGAGCACACAACGCGTTGGTTAAGAACTCCACGGGAATTAGTAGACTACAATACTCATATAAATAAGTCATGACTCAACAATCTATAAGCATATCTTAGAGTCATAACTTTTCCATTAACATGCTTAGCATACTCACATCTGATACATGCTTTCATACGTTTATAATGTTCGACTCATAGTAACATTTTAGCAATCATTTATTACATACTTACATCACAGGCAAGCAGTCACGATATACATTTAGACAATCAATATCATCACAACACGTATTAACATACTAAGCTCTTAATTAGGTAAACAACATACTCACATGTTGTAAAATAAGTTAAGAACTAGTTCAAAGATCGATATGCTACTTACCTGGTTTCGAACTCCTTTTCCCTTGGACGTACGTTTAATAGGGTATTTCAACACAATTCCTTCAAATTAGACCTATATGTCACAATTTTTAAGATAAGTATAGACCAATCTTGATAGGAAAAGTCAAAAGGAGTTGAAGGGACAAACCAGAAGCCGAAATGAGGTCTTACGCGCCCTCACATTATCGGTGTGTTTGTCCCACGCGCCAGGAGAACTCCGAGTCCACGCCCAGTCGCGGCTCCTCACACACCTTGCGTGTAGTGCACGCGCTCCTTCTTCTTCCTTGCGTTTTCTGCAATTTTCCCAACTTTTCTATTAATGCCGATTATGTCCCAAAGCCATATTCTACCTCTACCGCCCGTATTTCCACTACAACGTTATAGATCTCCTTATTATGGTTCTAACAAGCCCTATTTCATAACTTATTACACAGTATAGACCAAGATATCAGAATTTAAATGTTCGGTGTTATGGGTTTTCTTACCTTCGAATAAACACCTAATATGGCTTATCTCTTGAGCTTCCAACGCTGATAGTTTCCACAAGCGTTCCTCTAATCTCAAGCTTCCGCCCCGACAAGGAAATCATCAAACCATGAGTATTTCCGAAAGATTCACCAATTTTAACTCTCCTCCCGTGTTTCCCAATTTTTATTTCTTTTCTATTATTCATTTTTAATCACACACCACAACTCTCTAATTTTCCACCACTACAACAATCTCTACCACCCTTCAGCATCCCACGCACCTCCATCTTCCTCTCTTTTCCCCCTTTAATCCACCCGTCCCTTCCTCCTTTCTCCATGGCATGCCTTTCTTTCTTTTTTTTTTTTTTTTTTTTTTTTTTTGACTAATTCATTTATTTACTTATTTCATAATAATAATATTATTATTATTAATTTAACACAAAACATACCTACCTAAACACATATTATTTTATTTTTGGTTCATTACATATTAAATGATTAATTAAACTATTTAATTGATATTTAACATTAATTTAAATGTCAATCCCAATTAATTTCGACACATATTGATTAAAATATTTAAATCTTATTTAAATATCTCAGATTCTCTCTTTTTGTTTAATTCGTAAATAAAACAAAAATGCGGTTAAATATATCGTATATATTTAGCGCATATTCCCTAATTTGAATTCGAACACTTCGAACTCANTCGTCACACTGTTCTATAGTTTAGTTCGATATGAGCTAGCAGGGGGATCTAATAGACCTATAGATCATGGGCTCCAATGATTTGAGATTAACCGGCTAAACTCATTAACCTTGTTAACCAACATTCGTTAACTACTAGGACACTCCACTATAGCTTAGTAGTTGCACTCCCCGCACTATAAATATATTTCTGTCCATTTGATATAACCATGATTAGTAAGTCGATCATTCACAGGTTGTTCGTAACTAAAGTTGGGTTAATTTACCGTTTTACCCTTGAAGTTACTTTTTTATTCATTATGTCCCACTGATCCTCTAATGAACAATTAGTTTGTGGTCCAACCAGTAAACCGAATCCCGCTCAGGCCAATGAGAGGGTGGGGCCCCTTGTTCAAGACTGGCCTGAGAGGGTGGGTCCCTTGTTCAAGACCTTGAGTCAGTACTTAAGGGAACTACCTCTCTTCTATCCCTAAAAGTGGGTAGGTGTGAATTCTTCTTGCATTACATGTACCTAGCCATTCACTCAGTCTTACCCCTAAAATGGGAGGCTGATTGAGTCGGCGAGCTCGAGCCACTCTCACCTATGCAAATCTAAGGATAATTCCAAATAAACAGGAGTTCATGATTAGCTTAGGATTAAGATCGAGTTACCTAGGTCATCGAATGAAAAAAAAAATCAGTCTCAACAGTAAACGACATTATAAAGTGAGAGTGATTTTTTTCATGGTCTGATCTTATGCAATACTCATTCCATAGGACACCCCCACTCACATGTCTCCACATATATAATTTAGTGATCACATTGTTTATATCATATACAAAAGTGGGCCGCATCCATAGTGTCCCCAAGATAAGGTACTCAGCTTTATCCCTGTACTATAGATCATTTTGACTATATACTTGAACTTGATCGACTCTTATGTCTCTACATATAGTTCAAGTAATCATACTATAGTCAGAGTGTTCTTAGTTTATTGGATTTAGATTAATAATCGTAAAATTTACTTTATTCAATAACATTCTTTACTGAATAAACATCCCTAATAACTTTATTGAAAATAGAATATGTTCTTGTTTACAAACTATGAGATTTAGGACATAAAACCCAACAGGCGTTATCTCGTAAAATTCACTATCTTTGGTGGGGACAACATGGTGTGTGCTAGCCTACTCTCAACATCCATGGGAGGTTAGCTGGCCAACCCTACCATCTAGTCACCCATTGTTGTGCAGTGTACCCCATGCACTTGCCAGCTGCTAAGACTGCCCGCACAATTCTATGTCCCCTCTCAAGACGGATACGATGTGCAGGTTAACTCAATTGAGCTATCAATCACACAACCTTAACCGGCCTAGGCCTGGCTCCACAGTATTGGTTCCAAAGTGGAACGGAAAGTAGAAGCTCTGTTGACACAGTACCAATTGTTAATCTTTCTACTCTTTGACCTTGGTAGCTTACTTTGCTTACGTAGTGAATGACTAATGACCTGAATTAAGGCAAGACCTCATAAAATTATGAAGCGAGAACGTGGTGACTTCTAGTCTGCACATCATCCAAGGGTCACCTAATCTTGAGGGATGCGATCACCATGTCCTGGTTAGCTACTAGACTATCAGACATGGTCCCATGCTTCCCTCTCAAGAATAAGTGTACAGCATAGTGACCCTGTTAAGGAGACCACTGGCCATTCCATGAAGTTGAAGCTCACACTACCCATGTTGGCCTGTGCCTAGTTCGTTACCGGAGTGGAAAGGGTAGTGAAGGGTCTGAAGAGGCAGTCACACTACTATCAGACTTAAGAACTACCTTGGTCAACATTGGTTGTCGTGGGGGCCTACTAGGGTATAAGGGCTTCTAGGTGGTTTAAATCTTATCTCTCATTTTTAAAACGCCCAGGGTTAGCTCCTCGAGCCTAATCCAAGTGATAAGGATCACGGTGTTCCAAATGTTCCAACTAGACCTATTACATGATCCAAGGCCAAGAAGATTCCACAAGCATTCATTCTTCATCTACAAAATTGGATAGGCTTGATTCAACCATTATTTCATGTGTTACAAGCTGATTCGATTGAGAAAGGACCATTTAGAGCTTCAGAAGTGAATATTTGCACGGTTGAAGTAGTAGAGGAAGTTGCTATAAATTACATTGATAATTTGTTAGAAAACTTTATTTATTATTTTAATTTCATAATTTCTTGTAGTGAGCAAAAGGGTGGGAAATTACTTGTCGCCATAATCTTTTTTGTGGAGATGGCGGTGGGAGTAAATCATAGACACTAACGTATTTAGTGGGCATTTGAACATTTGGAAGTTTCTTTTGGGGAGAACCTATAAATACCCACAACTTACAAGGTAAAAGACAGATTTTGAGGAATGAAATTTAGCTCTCAACTTTCACTCTTCGAAATTTGAGCATCATATGTTTCATGCAATTCTTGTGATAGATTGCATCTGAGTCATTCAATCAAGCATCATTTTTTCTATATCTCTGTTTCATGCAATTCTTGTGGTAGATTGCATCTGAGTCATTCAATCAAGTCTTGACTAAGTTTGATTGTTCAGTGACTCAATTTAGAACAAGATTTCAAATATTGCTTCTACATCTTTTATCTTAAGAGGTAATCTAATTCTAGCCTATCTTTTGGTTGTAATTTTGTATAAGGAGGTGTTAATTTCTTTTATTCAAGGGTTCTTGTTTCAACCAAAGCTTGGATCATTGGGCGGAGAATTATGGTTATCTTATCAATTTGGTATCATAGCCTCTTGTGACCTAATTCCAGAATTGACTTTATCTTTCATTTATGATATTGTTTATCTCTTCTTCAAATTTGTACATTTATTTTCTTTCTGTCATTTCAACCATTCTTCCACATCTTTTGACTTTGTTTTTTTTTATCATATTTCAATCTCGAAAAAAAAGAAAAAGAGAACTTCTAAGAATTTTGCACTTAAGATAACTTACACTTGAAGATCTAAATCTGCAATTTTATTGACATTTTTATCTTTGTTTGATTGACATTTTTTCTTAAACGATCTAGATCTGGAATCATTGTAAATATAACTCTTTTCTTCGGTGGGACATGGATCTCGATCTGTATATTCATAATTTACACTTGAAGAGAACTTCTGAATTTGCCTACCTTGATCATAATTTAGTCACTTTTCCATATAGTCTACATTTGTGTGTAATAAACACGAGTGTCCTTGAGTGTAAAATCAGTGAGTTGAGTATGTGAGGTCCTAAACATATTTAACTAATGTTTGTACAATCATGAACCTAGGTAGAGGAAATGAAGGGGGAGATCAATGAAGCTAGGTGGAGAGAAGCACAAGTTAGAACCATTACTCGTTTGAATCAAGTTATTAGTATATTGACATACCAGATGGAGAAAATTGAAATAGCTTTAGGCAATCTTCAAGGAATCCCAAGTACTCTTGAATTAAGGAGTTGAGAATGAAGAAAATGACAATGTCACCCTTTTAGCGGGACATAGTCCTAGGGGAGGGAGAGATGTCGGTCGAGGGAGAGGAAGAGGAAAAAGAAGGGAGAGATATCTCTAGCAGTGTGCTTGGGTTGTTACAATTTGGTATCAGAGTAGTCGGGTTTATGTTCTATAGACTTTTTCTCAAGGTAGAGAGTCATATACCTCTGTTACTCAGCTCGACTCTACGCCTCTCCGCGACAAGGTATGCAGTTATAAGATTTGTATGAATTTGATGATTTCCTCGGGATACATGGTAGTGATAAAGAGGTCTTATAATTGTGAACGTTAACTCTAAAAGTAATTGCTCGTATCAAGTTATAGTGTTTATGATACACTGATGAGGCTGAGAGGAGGAGTGAGATAGCAGACTAGTCTTAGGAAGAAAAAGAGTTGACGTTGTAGAGTGCGAGATGTCCAACCCACGAGATGGCATGAGATACCTTAAGGTTTGGTATGAGATGGTGTGTTCATGCATTGGGGGATGCTTCTCCTTTTACAATAGTTCAAATGCGTACATTATGAGGCAGGTAAATGATCATTATGTTTACTACCATAATGCTGTCATGACGGTTGCTATTTCGAACGAGTGTCTGGCATCAACAGCTGCCAGAGAATGCTCGCTCGACCAGAAAGAGGCCTAGGAGGTGTGCAAACCGATTGGTGAGTTCATACTCGCACGTGTGGACCTTGTGGAGGGAAATTAAGTACACATCCAATTGCCCACTTAGGATAGCCACAGTAGGAAAATAGACTATTACGATAGGTCTCACTCATGAATTTTATATGTTTGTATTTAAATTCAATAGGGGGTTGCTTACTTTTTATTTCTTAAAGTACTCAAGTCATGTGCTATTCTTATTTTTTAAGTAAAGTTAAGGCTCCCCTGTATGGCTGATAGTGACATTGCAACTAGGAGACTGTGACACAAGCTTAGGGTAGTTTTGCAATTTGAATTAGT